GGCTAAAAGACTGAGCAACCCTGACCACAGAGGACTGTAAGTAAATGGATTGGACTGGAGTTTCAAGCAACTTGATAGTCCTCATTAAATGACCAATGATCTGTTCAGCTGGAATTTCGTATTCCTTTTGAGAAGTCTAAGAGGCATGTGAAGTATGATTAAAGTATTCAACTGCACGTATCGCTCAAACCGATTTTGAACTCCATTAATCGGTTCCAGGTTGTGCTGGGGATCAAAACCGAAAGATTTGTTTTGTTGTAGAAAGCAGTGAACTGTTCCAACTGAGAAATGTTTACGGCTCAGTAAATATAAAGACTGTCCTGGTGGGAGTTTTTTCGGACAGTATCGATTATCTTCGTTTAAAATCACCGTCGAAAACAAATTCACCGCGTTTCTCTTCATTGGACTCTCGAGGACTTTAACTAAAACTGCAAACGAATGAACAAAAGTGTGGCCCTGACATCCCTGCATGTTGATCTGTTGTCTACTACTTGTTGTTTCCCACATCCTACACGGAAGTTGTGTAAAAAAATTGGGAAAACTCATGAACTACGAAGAATATGAACCGATCTCACAACACAGGTCAATTGGAAATCTAATCCCTAAGAAATTTTGATCGAAGAGACGCCTAAATCTCACATAAGGGATTGCTACGTGAACATTTAACACTTAACAGAGCAACATACTCTCCATTGTCTAAACATAAACCACAGCATTCGCTGCAAGGCTAAAGTAACTAACCTGCCTGAATGAAAGCACCAGCGAGTAACAATAGCAAAAGTTTCTTAACGGCCATTCTATGGCCCGAATAGAGTGACAGTCTCCTTTCCTCAAACGTACATCAGGTAACCTCAGATGTTCCAAAAAGGAAATAATTAAATGCTTCGCTTCACTGAATCAAGCAGCAAAGTGCTGATACAATTATATGCAAATTTGATACTCACTTAGATCACGCAAAAAGAATTTCTCAATAGAAAGCGTCAATTTACATTTAACCATAATTTTCGATTTAACGAAAATGAAATAAGCTAGAATGTTTAGTCACAGTTCCAAACAGCGTAATCTGAAACATTAGTGAGTTGCAAGTGACCAGTATTTAAGAAATAGAAAACATGTACCATGTTTCTATCGAGTTATAGAAACACAAGTGGAAGTTTGGGAGAACGAGAAATGCTGTGGGAACACGAGCCGCAGGCGAGTGTTTCCACAGCTTTTTCGAGTTCTACCAAACTTTCACGAGTGTTTCTATGGAAAACACCGCGACGAGAAAAAGAAAAACAGCTTGTTTACCTTAATCATCAAAATGTAAATTCTCTTTTCTCGCGCCATCATTACGTCAACAGCTCGTGCTAGTTCTGTGTTTCTATCGAGTTATTGAAACACGATTTTTAACCAATCAGCGCGCGTATTTTCTTAGAGCTGTTTTCTAAAACTAATTATCAGTTTACATCACGAAGTTCAAGTTACGTACAAGAAGGAAACATTCCACTGACTCTCGGTCACAGGATTCAGTTTGAAAGTGAAATAACCTCGATAGCTATTACACTTTAATGTTCTTAGCATGATGAGAAATCTCTCGAAATTGGAAGGCTTTGTTGCTGTGTAGCAAAGTTTCTTGTAATGGAAAAAACCAAAACGAAAACGTTCACCCCAAACAGGGTGGTTCGGAATGACGGATGGAAGGATGGACGGATAAACAGCTGGACGGACTGACGGGCGGAAGAATGAAGAGATGGGTGGATGGATGGTCAAACTGATCCTTACGTAATTAGTGATGAAGATAACCAAATGTTTGAAGTCTAAATTACGCTAAATAGCTGTTACTGCAGTTGAGTCTGCGGTCAAATATTCTTTTGTTTTAAAAGGCATGCAAAAGTGGCGAAAGGGTCAATACAATGCAGAATTGACCCTTTCGCCTCGTTTGTGTGTCAAGCCGATGATAACTGCAATAACAGCTATTATGATCTACTGAAGAATTCCGTTTACAGACTCAAATTATCGAAACTTATGACGGAGGTCCTTAAACGAAGTACCTCCTACAATAGCATCTATTCACTCTGAGTAGCTCCTTAGTGGTGTCAGATACGAACTGGTATTTCCCGTGTATTTATATGAGTATCTTCCACAGGAGCACCTCCTGACTGAGTAGTCCCTTAGTGGTGTTACATAAGCAGGTCAGGGAGATGATTTCTTTTGTGTGTTCGAACATAAGTCTTCTCAGTCTCGTAAAAGTTGAGAAGTAAAACTGAATAAGTGAATCGTACAGCAAGTACCTTCTAAACATAACGAACCATGATAACAGTAAACGACACCTTGCACAATAGCTTTTTTAGCGGCCATCTTTTCCCATGTAAATTACCACGTAATCCTAAGTGGATGCGAGGTAATTTCAGGCAAAAATTGTCCGCAGTTGCCTCACATACATGTTGGATTACATTGTAATGCAACTGAGAAAAGGTAAACGTGAAATTAAACGCTATTCTGATATCATCTTGGTAATGCAATTGTACCCTTTCGTACTAAACGTTTTGTCTTCTATTTTAAAAGTACTTAACCGGCAGTAATTAACAGCTGGACTTACATTGGACATCCACTATAGCAGCATTGGAGGTATCACTTCCAACCCTGTTCCTCGCCACACATCGGAATTCTCCACTGTCCGTCCTGCTCACATTCGTTATTGTCAACCGCTTCTTGTCGTCTGAGAAACTGATCCTGGGATTGTAGCTTGTATTTACAGGATATCCATTCATGGCCCATGATATTTCTGGAACTGGATTTCCACTGGCATTACAGGATAAGGACATGTTTTGCCCTTCTCTGATCGTGACTCCGATTGGGTGAGTGGTGATCGAAGGTTGCTCTGAAGAAACACAACAAAAAGAAGAGAAGAAATCAGTACACAACTATTCAGCGTACGTTTATTTCAATCGGGCAGTGACACAAGCAATTTGGACGAGAATTCCGAGTTTCCAAAACAGGAATTGAGCCTATGACCTTTGACTCTCCTGTAACTCAATGATAGAGTGATAGGTGCGCAATTTTTTGTCCAAATCTTCATTGCTGATTAAGGTGGGTTCCTATAAGCTTAAGAGTGCCTGCCTGTAAAAATCAGACAAATTCTTAATTTCGCGGCAAGGGTCGAAAATTCGATTTCGCTCATTTTCCTATGGTAGATAGGCT